TTCCTCCCTCCTTCCCTCACTCCCACCTACTTCCTCCTCTTCTTCCTTCCTTCTTCCCTCCTTCCCGCCCTCCCTCCTACTTCCTCCTCCTCTTCTTCCTTCCTTCCTCCCTCCCTTCACATTACAGGAGCAGAAGGAAACCCCCTTTGGGGAAACTTTCTGAACAGTCCTGTCCCCCACATACCTGAGTGTGTGTATGGGGGGGAGGGGTTGGGGACCAGGTACGGGTGGTCCCACCTGCCCCCATGTCCACTTACCCCTTTTCACATGCTGCGCTCCTTTCCTCTCTCGCAGGGCCATCAGGGGGCTGAAACGGCAGGCAGAAGTGGCCAAGCTTTTTCAAACGTGCCTCCTCCCCAGCTGGGGGGGGGTGTCCCTATTTTCTTGTCCTGCAGCCCCCTCTCTCCCCCTCCCACAACTCCCACATGGCTTCAGGTGATTGGACCACACTTCAAAAGCAGACTGCTCGTGGGAGTGGATGGGGCACCACCAGGAAACCCTTTTGGCTGGGAAACTACCGACCATCCTCAACTTAACAACCATTCATTTTGTGACCCTTCGAAGTTTGACTTGTGACCAGTTTTCACACTTATGACCATTGAAACCTCTCCAGGGTCAGGTGATCCAAATTTGGATGCTTGGCAACCGACTCACATTTATGACGGTCGCAGTGTCCTGGAGGGGGGGGGCTCTCATGATCCCCTTTTGTGACCCTTCTGAACTAGCAAAGCCATTGGGGGAAAGCCAAATTCACTTAACAACCGTGTGACCAACTTAAACCGCCACAGGGATTCATTTAACAATGGTTTGTGGCCAGAAAGGTCGTCAAATGGGACCGTGTCGCTTAACCCCAGAAATTTTGGAGATCCTGCGACCATCATAAATAGGAATCTTCTGCCAAGGGTCTGAATTTGGAATAAATGACTTAATGGAAAGGCTGTGTCAACTAAAAAGATGCTCCTTTGGTCTTTTTAGCTGCCAAAAAAAAGGGAGAAAACAGTACATTCCTTAAATGCCTAGATCCATGATGGCGAACCTATGGCACGTGTGCCACAGGCGGCACGCAGAGCCATATGTGCCGGCACGCGAGCTGCAGGCAAACTTACCTCACTGAGCATGCGCACACCTCACAGCTGATTTTTGGGCGGTTTGAGGCCTTTTTTGGCCTCCCAAAGACTTGAGGAAGGCTTCTGCAAGCTTTGCAGGCCGAAAACTAGCCCCATTTTGTCACTTCCTGTTTTTTCTGAAAATACTGGAAGTGACGAAACGGGGCTAGTTTTTGGCCTGCAAAGCCTGCAGAAACCTGCAGAAGCCTTCCTCAAGCCTTTGGGAGGCCGAAAAAGGCCTCAAACCACCCCAAAATCAGCTGTGAGGCACAGAGGTAAGAGGGCGGCGGAGGGGGGGATTGCGCACGCATGAGTAGGGGGTGTGGGGGGTGGCGTGCATTGCCTCCTGAGTGCTGGCACGCAAGCACAAGCATGCAAGCACGTGCACAATTTTTGGCACAGGAGCCCAAAAAGGTTAACCGCCACTGGCCTAGATAATTGCCCTGGCAGCCCAAAGTTGTTGGAGCGCAAGAATATTACTGGAGAGCACAATTGATGACTCTTGGCTATGGATGTGTCCCATTGGAGAATATACATCCAGGGGGAGGGGGGAAGACCAGGGTCAAGGGGGAAATGAATGGTGTATTTTAGTGTTGGCTGCATCCAGCTAACGCCAACATAGCCACTTCTAATAAATCAATTTTCTTTCCTCTGAGAGACGCGGCTAGAGACTTATGATTTGAATGGAGGTGGTTTTGTTGGAGTCCTGTCAGGCTGCAACGGTCATAAGAGTGAAAAACGGACATTAGTCATTGGTTTCAAAGCCCGTTGTAACTTTAAGGGGCCACTAAATGAATGGTTGTAATTCGAGGATTACCTGTACGACTTCATCAAAGTTGCTGCCTTCCAGGTGGGGTGAACCACCGCTCCGTGTTCCCAACGTGTGTTGTGGTCCGTCGGCAGTCTGCAGAGATGGCAGCAGTCGGACAGTGGGGAGGAACATGGGCCAGTCCGGGAGTCTGGGGAGGACTCGGACGAGGGATCTGCATCCAACACAGAGATGGGGCCAAGGCCATCTGGGAGTTATGTGTGGAGTCCGGAGCCTCCAGAATCGGACATCAGCGAGGCAGAGGAACAGGGGGAGCCTGTTCCCAGTGTGTGCTTGCGCAGAGCTGCCAGAAGGCAAGAAGAGCTAAGACAAAAGGGGCGACTTGGGAGTAAGGCTTGGAGGTGATTGGCCCCTCCCCTAAGACATAAAGGAAGAGCAAAGGGACTGGAGCCTTTGCAGGAAGCAATTTTGTTCGTACTGGTTGGTTTGAAACCTGAAGCTCTGTGTTGAATTTGTGCTCTGTTTTGGGCTTGTATAACTAATTGGCAATTTAGTTGTTGGCAGCATTTCAAGGAAGATAAAGGTGCGTGCTTAACAGACTTATCCCGAAGGACTTTGGCAGACTTCCCTGGGACTCTTTACAAACTGTTTCAGACTCATTACAGGCTGTGAATGACTAAAATTCACAGCCATTGAAATAAAGTAAAAAGGGTTTTTGGGACTAATGTCCGTTTGTTAGTGTCCCCATAAGCCTTGGTCAGAACAATGTGTCTGAACAAAAGGACAATAAGCTGCCATTTTGAGGGGGGGTTGGGGTCAGATACTTACTCCGTCTTTGCCGGCCAGGTGGGAGGCGGCAGAGGGGGTGGAGGGGGAGGGGGAATGGGGACCACCGGGTACTCCTCTGGGGTGTCAGGGGCCTTAGCCTCCTCCTCCAGGACTTTGACTGCAAGAGAAGGTGGAGTTTAGGAGGGAAGTCCTCGTGCCCATTGCTTTCTATGGGATTAGGATCGACAAAGGTGGTCTGGCCTCATTTGTAGAAATTTATTGGGATTCGCCTGTCCTCCCTTGGACACTGTTGGAGGGGAATAGGTCTTGTTCACGATTGAAATGAGGGATCCTTGGTGCTCTCTCAACTCAGTTACTTTCTGGCAGACGTTTCATTACCCAACCGGGTTATATAATCAGTGTTAGAAGGGAGTAGAGTTTGTGGAGAGGAGGGGGACTGAGGGGTCCTTCATGCTCTCTGAGCTTGGTGGCTTTCTTGCAATGCTTCATTACTTTGCAGAGAGGAGGAGGAGGAGGAGGAGGAGGAGGAAGAGGAGGAGGAGGAGGAGGAGCTGTCTTCTTTAAGCTTGGTAGTTTTCTTGCCAATGTTTCATTACTGCACTGCACTGATGATGTTACCTAGTTGGGTAATGAAATGTCTAGATAGATAGATAGATAGATAGATAGATAGATAGATAGATAGATAGATAGATAGATAGATAGACAGACAGACAGACAGACAGACAGACAGCGATAGATAGAAGATAGATGATGATAGATAGATAGATAGATAGATAGATAGATAGATAGATAATAGATAGATAGACAGATGATAGAAAGAAAGAAAGAAAGAAAGAAAGAAAGATGGAATTCTTTATCGGTCAAGTGTAATTGGACACACAAGGAATTTGCCTTTGGTACATATACTCTCAGTGTACATAAAGGAAAATAAAATATATTCATCAAAAATCATAAGATACAACTAATAGTAACCAAGGTTACTAATAAGCAATCAAAACATACTAGGAAACAAATAAAAATATAAATTGTAAAGATACAAGCAGCACAGTTATAGTAATAAACGGGAAGAGATAGGTACTAGGAAGGAAGAGAAGAATAATAGTAATAGTAAATTAATAAATGAGTTGGACAGTGTTGAGGGAATTATTTGTTTAGCAGAGTGATGGTGTTCGGGGGGAAACTGTCCTTGTGTCTAGTTGTTCTGGTGGGCAGGGCTCTATAATATCATTTTGAGGGTAGAAATTGAAACAATGCCCTCTACAAGAAAACCATCAAGCTCAGAGAGCACCAAGGCCCCCATCAAGTCTCTGATAAATCGAGAGATTTCTCCATGGGGAAGAGAGGCCAGAGCTTACTCAATAGAGCCCACACTCGAAGCTTGAAGTTGAGGTTGAGTTCCCACAACGGCCGAGGCTGAAATGTCATTGGCTTAGCTCTAGCTTGTGGTTCAGCATCAAGGGAACCTAGCATGGCCTTCTCTTTCACGTCTCTTTCTTCCCCCAAAATGCTTTGGACTCTGCACAAGACCAGCAAAACTCTGACCTTTGTGCTCCAGGGTGGCACATTTCTCCTCTGCTCGGAGGAGTCGCTCCTCCAGGTGGGCCTTTCCTTCTTCTTCTGTGGCCAACATTGCCTGCAGCCTGGCCAGCTCCTGTGGCAGTGGCCGTTCCACCAATTGGGCCTCCAGATCCTTCACCTGGAAGAGTCAAAAAAGTCCAGCAGATGAATCCTTGGGAAGAATGCCCACCAGGTAGGCTGGGTGTGTGTTGTGGCCCACTGGCGGCTAACGGAGCTGGGAGCAGAGTTGGACAGAGGTTGGGGAGGAACCTGGGCCAGTCCTGGAGGTTGAGGAAAGCTCGGACAAGGGCTCTGCATCAGAGGCAGAGATGGGGCCAGGGCTGGCTGGCAGTCATCAGCTGCCTTCGGGCTCAGACAGCAATGAGACGGGGGAGCAGCAGGAGCCGGTTCCCAGCCTGCGCATGCGCAGAGCTGCCAAAAACAAAAAACAAAAGAACAATTATGAATAAAGGGTCGATGTGGGAGTAAGGCCACAGGTGGACAGTGAATGGCCCCTCCCATAGGGATTAAAAGAAGATCAAAAGGGGAGGGGGCTTTTGCAGGAAATGATTCGTTCGTTGCAGCAGTGTGAAGATCTGTCTGTGCATCACAGAGACTCTGTGCTGAGCCCTTCCTTGTCAGCACTGCGTTTGGAAATATTTACTTGGCAGCTCTCCAAGCTAGATAAGGTCTGTGCTCTTAATTACACCCTTGAAAGACTGTTTGCCAGGCCTTTGGCTGAATTTGAATGCAAGAAATTTACCTTCATTTAGTAAAAGGGGTTTTGCTGGGACAAAGAGTCTGCTTAGTGCTTTTTGGGGGAAGCCTGGGACAGAACATTATGTTGTGTGTCCCATCGATTAGGGATGTCCATCTGGGTGGTAGGATCATGATCAAGGGCCTTCTTGGTGGTGGCCCCTTCTTTATGGATCATCCCCTTCTGGTGCAATTGGCCCCCACCTGCTTGTTTTCCCAAAAGGCCCTGAAGACTTGGTTTTATCAGTGGACCTGGGGGCCACGAGTGGAGATGGAGCCCCATCAAGTGGTTGATGTGGTTGTGTTATTGCTGCCATGTTGGTGGAGGCGCTTCCTGGTTTTTATGTTGTGGATTTTTAATACTGTGAGCCAGAGGTCTCCAAACTTGGCAATTTTAAGACTGGTGGACTTCAACTCTTAGAATTCTCCAGCCAGCACAGAATTCTGGGAGTTGAAGTCTCCAAGTCTTAAAGTTGCCAAGTTTGGAGGCCCGTGTTATAAGTCAATGCTGAGTTGGGTGACCATGTAGATTTGGTTAATCAATCCATCCATCCCACTCCCCTTTGCCCAGTTCTAGAAGAACCTGGAAGAGCATGGAAGATTTGTCAGTGAAGATTCAAACCCTCCAAAGGGAGACCATTGGAGAATCCTTGGTGCATGCTTGAGTCCAGAGGTGGTATTCGGCAGGTTCTGACCAGTTCTGGAGAACCAGTAGCGGAAATTTTGAGTAGTTCGGAGAACCGGAAAATCCCACCTCTGACTAGCCATGCCAACCCCATCTCTTCTCTGCCTCCCGAATCTCAGCTGATTGGGTGGGTCTCCTTTGGTTGCCCTGCACAGGAGAACGGAGCTGGAAAGCAGGTTAGGGAGGTGGGGAGGGAAGGGGGATTTTGCAGCATCCTTCCCCTGCCATGCCCACCAAGCCACACCATGCTCACCAAGCCACGTCCACAGAACCAGTAGTAAATTTTTTTTGAATCCCACCACTGCTTGGATCCTGTTGGCCTTCAGATCCCATTGTAACCCATTCCAAATCCTGCCCCATCTTCTCCCTTCTCCCACCTAGGAGAGTTGGAGGGGCCCCTTCTGCTCCCTGGGGTACTTTTCTGCTAAAGGCGAGAGCTTACAACAAGTGGATTTTGAAAAGGAGAGGGAAGGGAGAAAACCTGATGCTCCTAAACTCACTTGGGCTTCGTGCTCCATCTTGGCCTCCTCCAACTCCTTGGTCATCTTGGCCAAATCCTCCAAGGCCAGGAGAAGCTGACCATCCACTCCGACGTTCTTCATCAGGATCATGCTCTGCCGATTGGCCTCCTTCTGCTTCACCAGCATCTATTGAGGGAGGAAACCAGGGTGAGGGGTCCTTGGCGCTCTCTGAGCTGGGTGGCTTCCTTGCGGACATTTCATGACCCAACTAGGGAACACCATCAGTGCTAGAAGGAATGGGGTTTGTGGAGGAGGAAGAGTGGCGCTTGGTGCTCTCTGAACTTGGTGGTTTTTCTTGCGGACATTTCATGACCCAACTAGGGAACATCATCAGTGCTAGGAGGGGGGTGTTGCTCTCAATTTATATTCTAATTAACTTTGGTGAGAGTGATGTCGGAGGTTCTTTGATTGGGCTGTTTAAGAGAGTTGGAAGGGACCTTGGAGGTCTTCTAGTCCAACCCCCTGCTCAAGCAGAA